TGGTGATGTCCAACCTCACCAAAAACCAAGGAAATGCACATTAAAACAAGGAAATCCCACTCTGCACCAGCACCGATGGGCCAAAATTAGAGAAAATTCCATGTTGGTGGGCATGTGGGGAAATGGCTCCTCAGATCCAAGCGTGGCTGGTGAGAACGTGGACAGGGAGAGCTTTTCCAGAAAGGATCAGACAAACGTCGGAGTGAAGTTGTGAATTCCCTGTGATCCAGCAACCTCAGGTGCCCACCGCGGGGGTATGGGGTAAGAAGAATGTCGCCTGCACCTCGGGCAGATGACTATGCAGTCATTACAAGTGACAAACCAGGTTTATAAACATCGGGTGGTGGGGGGAGAGTTCAAAAATAGTGTACAGACAGAAAAAAAAAAAAAGAAAGAAAGAAACAGTGAGATTGTTTCTTCTGAAATCACAATACCATTTTAGGAAATTAAACATGCCCAGAGCATATTTTTCAAGGACACTGAAATGTCTAAATAAGCTTCTGGAAAGTGGCTTGCAAGGAATGATACTAAATGGGCTGGTGTGTGTGTGTGTGTGTGTGTGTGTGTGTGTGTGTCAGAGAGCAGGGGTTGGCGAACTACAGACTGTGGGCACGATTTTTGCATTTTTAAATGGTTGGAAAAACAAAGAAGAATGCTATTCGGGACATGTGAAAATTACATGAAATTGAATATCCTACGGCCATGCTTGTTCCTTTATATATTGTCCATGCTCACAAGGTTACAAAGGCAGAACTGAGGCACTAAGCTCATCAAAATGTATATGTTAAATATGCAACATTTTTTTTGTAAGGCTTAAAAAAAAAAAGAAAAAGAACTAAGTGGAATTGAATCATTGCAACAAAGATCAAGCCCACAGAGCCTAAACTATTTGTCGACCCTCAGCACTGAGGGTGGAAGGGGAATGTGGAGAAAACATCAAGTAACACAAGGGAGCTGGGGTGCACAGACCAGCTGACATCGGAGATGGTCGCTGCGAGAGGAAGAGTTACATTGACTCAGTTTGGATCTTCTTAAGGCCACAGGACATTTAAAAAATTTTAAATCGTTCACCCGCCCAGTGTGGGAAGGGAGTGAGGCCACAGGGGAAAAAAGCAATTTGGCACCGACATCATGGTCCTCAAAAATGCTCTTCTGGAAACCTGTCCTGAGAAAACAGAAGACGCAAGGGATTTCCGCCAAAGGACGTCGTCGTGGCATTAATGACAGTAGAGACTGATGTGGCTGTTAAATAAATACTGCATCCCAGGACTTTTGTTTTTGTTTGTTTATTTTTGAGAGAGAGAGAGAGACAGAGTGCCAGCAGGGAGGGGCAGTGAGAGAGGGAGACACAGAATCCGAAGCAGGCTCCAGGCTCTGAGCTGTCAGCACAGAGCTGATGCAGGGCTCGAACTCCCGAACGGCAACATCATGACCTGAGCTGAAGTTGGACACTTAACTGACTGAGCCACCCCGGTGCCCCAGCCCAGGAATTTTTTAATGACAGGAAGAATGCCCCAGGATAATGTTAAATCAAAGAAACCCAGGGCGGAGTTTAAACCCTGGCTTCCTGAACAGTGGGCAACCACCCTGTGCCTCAGTTTCCCCATCTGTAAAATGGGGGTTAAAAACGTCACCCACCTCATACGGGTGTGCTGGAGCTATAAATGAATTAAAATATGAAGAGTGTCAAAAAGCACCCTGGCCCATAGGAAGGCTACCCTAAAAACTCTTAAAAATAAAATAATGCAGGGCATCTGGGTGGCTCAGTCGGTTGAGCGTCCAACTTTGGCTCAGGTCATGATCTCCTGGTTTGTGGGTTTGAGCCCTGTGTCAGGCTCTGCACAGATCCTGCTTGGGATTCTCTCTCCGCCTTCTCTCTGCCTCTCCCCTGCTCTCTCTTTCAAAAATAAAACATAAAATAATGCAAGACAACAAATTCTATCAGCTCCCTGTTGTCAGACTTAAAAAAAAAATGCATATTATTGTCTGCATTAAAAAATTCGGAAGGAAAGAATCAGAAGGGCTGACAACAGCTGGGCCTGGGCGGTGGTGGGTTTACGGGGGTTTTGTTTCGTGTTCCAGATTTTTCTGTACTTTCCAAACTTTCCACAAAGAATATGAACTGCTGTCATAGGGAGAGGTTTCCAAGAGCAAAGGAAATTTCACGGCCTCAGAGACCCCACGGATACGCCTGCCCGCCCCTTCTCTTCCCGGATCTCTCTGGAAGGTGGGGGGATGGGCCTTTGTGAGGTGTTGGGGCCTCTGCCGGCCACACCCACTCTTGCCAGCCTGAGGGGAAGCCAGCTTCTCACCCTCCCCTCCCTTGCCCCCCAGTGAGGGAATTCTACATGGCAGAGAACCTGGGCTCCTCCCTGCCTCCTCCCCCAGGGAGTCCTCCCGGACCTACCCATCAAGTTGGCGACCTAAACATGTGGTCCAAACACTTGTCAAGTCCTGTACTATCTAATTGCATTTTTCATATTGCTCCTCCCCAGTGGGTCTACAGGACCCACCTCTGAGGCTCAGGCACCTTGCATCTCCTCATCCCTATTTTTTTTTTTTTTTTAATGTTTTACTTATTTCTAGGAGAGAGAGAGACAGCGTGAGCAGGGGAGGGTCAGAGAGAGAGGGAGTCACAGACTGAAACAGGCTCCAGGCTCTGAGCTGGCAGTCAGCACAGAGCCCGACGTGGGGCTCGAACCCACGAACCGCGAGATCATGACCTAAGCGAAAGTCGGACGCCTAACCGACTAAGCCACCCAGGCGCCCCTCCTCATCCCTATTCTAGCTCATTAGGTATCTTGATGTTCTCAAGCCCCTTCCTCGCCTCAGGACCTTAGCCCCTGCTGGGAACACTGTTCTTCCACCCCGGTGCCACTGGCTGCTCCTTCTCTTTCCCATCTTGGTTCAAACAGCCCACAGCTAACCCTTGAGCACCTACTACGTGCCTGCTGCCACACAGAACACTTGATAGGAACTCACACATATGAACCTCACAGTGATCTGGTGACACTGGGTTGTCAGGACCCCTGATTTGCAAATGAGGCACAGGTCTAATAACTTGCTCAAGGGCACAGAGTTAGGGAGCAGGGAAATTGGAACCGGAACAGAGATCACCACCCCATGTAACTACTGCCTATCCCAGGCCCGTTTTATTTGCTTCTGACACGTGTGCCCTGAATTGGTATCTCTTCACTTTTTTTTTTTTTTTTAAATCACGGGGCTTCACTCATTTATTGGGGGGGCTCTGTCTGGTTCACTGACGCAAGCCCGATGCCTGGAAGAGTCTGGCACAAAGCAAGCGTTCAATAAAAGTCTGCTACGTGAGAAGACGTTGCAATGAACCAGCACACTCCAGTTCTGCCCAGGCAAAGCAGAGACGGGGCTGGCCGCAGCAAGCAGGAGTTAAGTGAGACATGAGGAAGGACTTTTGGGGGCAGCCGCCTGCACAGAGTGGGAACATCACTATGCCTGCGCGTCATGCAGGCTCGAAGCCCCACGGCTGCCCCCACGGCTGCCCAAGGTAGCACGTCTGGAATGGAGGTCGCCTCTTGGAAATCCTAAGGCTGAGCTGGGCGGGGCCCTTGGCCGGGGGCCAGAGTCCAAGGGCTGGGCGTTTGTGATGGACACAGAACAGAGAAGTGGTGTCCGGGACTGGCCAGGAACAACATGCAAAAGCAAGAAAACACAGCTGGGTCCCCACCCTGCAGCTTGCGCCCTCGGGTCCCTCTGTGGGGCTCTGACACTTGAGACTGGCTTGGGGACCTGAGCCGCACCTCTGAGCCCCTGCTGTAGCTTCAGCCTGACCTTGGTTTAGATCCTGGCTCGGCCACTTCCTGGCCTTGTGATACCGGGCAAGTACAGCTTTTTCCCAAGCCTCAGTTTCCCCAGCTAGGAACAGAATTGGCCCGAAAATTATCAACAGAAACAGCGACAGGCATTGATGGAGCGAGCGCTCACTGCGCGTGTCAATTCGCGGGATTGGGGTAGGGGGCTGGCGTTAGGTCACTTTACAGATGAGGAAGCTGAGGCCCACAGAGGTGAAGCCCCTCACCTGGGGCTACATCGAGAGGTAGAATTTGAATCCAGGTTGCTGGACTATGAAAGTCCACATTCCACGAGTAAAACCCTTACCATAGCACCTGGCATTAGGCTGGTGCTTGATAAAGAACAGCTGTTGCGATTATGAATCATTCCGGCAGCTTCTGCCAGAAGCCTAAGGGTGGCAGCGAAGGGACAGCTGCCATCTTGCACATCCCACATCCCCATTCCTGGCATGTGGACTCAGCACTTTCTCCAGGGGACATCCCTTTTGCTTCCTCAGGGGCCACAGGACTTGGGTGGGGCTCCTCTCCCCCCAGGGTAATGCAGGGCCAGGCAGTGAAGGACACAGTGATTGGCACGTGACTGCCCCCAGCCCATGGGAGACACCCCTGGGATTTGTTTCTTAGCACTATTCAGACTGAGACGTTGCCCTTCTATGGAGATGAAAGAACAGATGCCTAGAGTGGCGGGCCACCTTCATTTAGCTATGAGAGAAGACCCCAAAGTGCCCAGAAGAAGAGAGTTAGAGATTCTTGCTGATATATCTGAGCGCCTAGATCCAGCTATGCCTGAAGCTGTCCCTAAGTGACACGAACAATACATTTCCTTTCCATTGCTTAAACGGGTCTGAAATTGGCTTCTGCCATTTGCTGAATAAATTGGGAGGGTTTTTTGCCCCGCAAACCAATAGCCTTAGGGACCCTCCCTCAAGTACCTTCTGTGGTCTGGACACTTACAATGTAGTAGACATGGAAACACACACTTAACAGACACCCAATTTCTCCGCATGGTTCCTACAGCACAGAGTGAGCAGCCCAACTGTCCCCCTTTTCCAGATGCAGAGACAGAGGCTCTGAGAGCCGAGCGGTCGGTCTGATGGGGTCGGGGTTGGACCCTGGCCTTCACAGGAACAAAGAGGCCCTCTCCGCGCCCCCCTCTCCCCAACAATGGCTCACCTGCTGTCCCATCGCAGCTTCGCTCCGTGATGCTGATCTTCTTCACCAGGTGAACGTTGCCGGGGGCCCCAGAGGACGTAGGGAACAGGGTCTCTACGACCTCACGGCTACAGAACACAGCGGGGGGGCTCTCGACCCCTCCCGCCGCTGCCAGGGACCGCAGCCCTGTTCCATAGGGCTCCAGGCTCTGGGCCCGCTGTGCAGGGGCCCCAGCGGCCGTGCTGGCTGCCACCTCCACCTCCCGCGGCCCCTCTACCACGCGGACAGTGTCCACTCGGATCGGGCTGTCTGGCGGTGGCCGGGCCTGGGGCTGGGGCTCAGCGTGCCGGGCCTGAGCTGCCTGCAGCTCCTGCAGCGCTTTCTTGAGCTGGGTCTCCAGCACGGTGACCTTCGCGGCAAGGGCCGCCTCCCCGTCAGGCACCCCCAAGTCCCGCTCCCGGACCCAGGTGCCCACGCTCCTGGTCTCGAGAGACCCGGGACCCTCGAAGGGCTCTGGGAGGTCCAGGCAGAGCTCGCTGCGGCCCCGGGCCCCCGCGGGATGGCCCAGAAACTTCTGGCTCTTGAGCTGTACCGTGAGCTGCCGTTTCTCCTCCTGCAGCACCGAGAGCTTCACCTGGAGCACGGGGATCAGCTTCACCTGCTCCTCCAGCTGCCGCAGCTTCCGCAGGGCACCCGCCATCTGCTCCCGCACGTGGGCCAGGTGCCCGGCGCTGGGAGGCACGGGTGTGGACAGTCCTGAGCTTCGTGGCGTCGGGGGTGGCAGCCCCACGCCCACCAGAGAGCTTGTGGAGCCTGCGGCGCTGGGGGTCAGGGAGCCCAGGCCCGCGGGCGTAGCAGCCTGGTCCTCCAGGCGGCGACGGGCATCCAGCAGCGTGCGCTCGACACGCGGGTTGAAGCCGGCGCGGGTCTCTAGGGCACCGTACTGCGGGTAGAAGCCGCGGCCGCAGTAGGAATAGGCCGAGTGGCGGCTGTCCCCGCTGGCATTGGAGCACAGAGACTCGGTGGATGTCCACCAGGAGCCAGGACCTCGGGGCAGTGAGCTGAGGCGGGGCCGGCGCTGCACGGCCACGCGCCGAAGCGTGTGGCCTTTCTCGATGTCATCCACATACTTGAGAAAGTCCAGGTCGAGGCGGTAGCCGTAGGGCGTCTCCACGGAGTACGGTGGGTCAGGCTCCCGGGCAGGGAAGGCGGGTGGGGAGGCTGGACCAGGGGTCCCTGGGGCACGAAGAAAGACCAGGGACTCTGAACACTGCTGTCCCCTCCTCAGGGTGAAGGCTTATGTCCCTGGGAGAGTCCAGGTTCATATGCCCTAGGCTCCTAAGGACAAGAGCCTACTGGGTGTTTAACTGCGACTCCGGTCTCCGGGCAGGCCCTGTCACTCCCTCCGAAACCTGCAGGGCAGGGCTGTGCCTATACCCTCCCCCCTTCCCCCCCTCCCCAGGACAGGGACCCATCTCCCTTCTTAGACCAGCCCCCCTCCTTTTAAAGTCTGTCCCCTCCCCATCAGACCCTCCAGGGTAGAGCCAAATGGTCCTTATTCCGGCCCTCAGGGCAGGGCTGTGTTTTTAACCCTTAACCATCCCCCTCCCCCACCCAAGGTTGGACGTGATCATCTCCTACACCCCAGGGCTGGGCCCTGTCTTCCCGAGACCTCTGACCTGGGAAGGGAGCTGGCACGTGCAGGACTTGGGCCATCCTCCGGTCTGCAGAAGCTCCTCAAGGGTCACTTGGGGTCTGTGACTCAGATCACCTGCAGCTTGGGCTGAGGCTTACCTGGGAGGAGGGGTATTGGAGCTTGGAGTCAAGAGGAGTCTGCAGGGGAAGGTGTGTGTATGGGGGGCCAGCCCTCCTCCACGGCTGTCCCCCTCCCAACACCCCCTCTTCCCCAAGTCCGGGACCCTCTCCTAGGAACACACCCGGCCTGGCTGTGGAAAGGGGTGGGGGGCCCCCGCGGCCTGGAACAAAGAAACCAAACCTCACAGCCCGCCTGCACATCTGTCCAGCCCCTGGACAGGCTCCAGCTGTTCCCACAGCCCCGCCTCCACAAGGCCCTGGGCCGGGGGCCCCCCGAGCCCGACAGGCCCCACCCTTCCTGCACCCCTCCTCTCAGCCCCAGCCAGAAGCTGACTACAGGGACAGACGGGCTGAGATGGGCCGGGGGTGGGGGCCAGCCTTCCTAAGTACAGGAGAGCCCCCTGCTAGGAGCCAAGGACACACTGACCCGGAACCAGGAGAGACGGAGCTGAGGGCAAGGGACCCCAAAGCAGAGCGGGGTCAGGCCAGCCAGGGTAGGGGGGTGGGGAAAGTTGGGGGGGGGCAGTGAGGAGCAAAGCCTTTCCTCTTTATGGAAACAATTTTCTCTAAAAATAAACAGTTTAGCTGCCGGGCTGCACGAGAACTTCCTGCCCCCCCAGGATGTGTCCGGCTCAGGGGCGCAGCAGGGATAGAGGGCCCGGGGGTGGCCAGGGAAGTCATGGGGGTGGAGGGGAGGAAGTAAGAGAGGGCGCCTGGAGGCTGCAGAAGGGAGGGACAATCAGAGCCTCTCACTAACTCCCCCTCAGCCCTGGAGGCCAGCCAGGGCCCTCTGGTCCCCCGCACTCAGCCTGAGCCTGGCCAGTCCTTTCTGCTGTCTGACCTCTAGCCACCCCGCTGCAGAGGCCCCAGCCCTGCCCACCACCAGGCAGGACCCTTTCCGGCCTGTGGGGCCAGGGCAGTGGGTACCTGGGAGGGTGGGCCAGGCGGGGCACTGGCCGGGCATGAAGGCGGGGCTGGGGCTCCGGGGCAGGCCAGGCTTGTCCTTGTCTTCCACCCTGCTCGTCTCTTGCTTAGTGTCTTGCTTAGTCTCTCCACGCTCCTCTGCGTCTCTCCACACGTTCTGTCTCTCTGTGCCTCGCTCCACTTCCCTCTCCCTCTTTCTCCACGTCTTTGTCCTTCAACGCCTGGAACACAGTCACCGATTGTATGAGATCTGGGATTCCACCTGCTTGGAGGCTCACCCCCTACACTCCGAGGAGGAGACCAAAACCTCTTCTTCTGGACACCTGAGACACTGGTGGCCAGAACCAGGACTGGATTAGCCTGTGGGGGCCCCTGGAGGCGAAAAGCGGTGGGGCAAATAATGGTAATAAGTGTAATAATCGCCCCCCCAGCTCATTTGATCACAAAACGTCCCCATCGGGCACACAGTTATTGATTGCTCTGTTCTGCAAATAGGGAATGGGGGGGAGGGAGCGGGCGGGATGTACAGTGACTTGCCCAGGGTCACTGGAAGGGGAAGTTGCTGGGTCTGGACTTGAACCTAAGCCTGGCAGATTCCCCACTGCCGGCCCCACCAGCCTCACCCCCAAAGCCACATCCCTCTGCGTCCGAGGGTCTCCGAGCCATCAGACCGCCCTCTACCTGCGCGGATGACCACAGGTCAATAAGCAGCTGGTGATGGGCAGTGTGGTGGGGGAGGGTGCCTGTGGCTGAAGCCCCCCTCCCTCTATGGAATCCCTGGGATATAGGGAAAGAGAAGCAGGAGAGGAGAGAGATGCAGAGAAGGGGAGGCGGGGCACTCCGAGAGGGGACAGGTAAGGGGGTGCGGGGTCCGGGGCGGGCCCGAACGTCCTGCGGAGTCTCCCTGAAGCCTCACTCCCGGCCAAACCCGGAAGTCTCTGGGGTCTTTCCAACCCAAAGACCCCGGCAGGGGTGACCCCGCCCCGTGCAGGGAGGGGGCGGGGCCTGCGGGGTCCCGGGCTAATGGCAAACAGCTGCCGCTCCCCACACCGGCCCAGCAGCCAGGCCGAGGCCCAGCCCGGCCGGACGCCCGGACGCCTTCCCGCCGTCTGGGGCCTGGCTCGGCTCCGCCACGGAGAAGGGCGAGGGGGGACAGAGTGGGGGTAAAGAGGTAGAGAGGAGGATCGAGATGGGGGAGACGGGCAGAGGGAAGACAGTGACGGGGGAGAGGGGCAGGACACCTGGAGGATGGGGCTGGGGAAGAGAAGCGGGGACGGGGGTCAAAGACGCGGAGGGGACAGAGACGCGGGGAAGGAGACACTCAGAGTCCGGAAAGTTTAGACCTAGATGGTGGAGGTGGACGCAGCGGCTCGTAGAGAACGGCGAGGTCGCGCCCCGGGGTTGGGGGTGGGTGCGGACCACGCTCGAACCCCGAACCGGACTCGAACCCCGACCCAGCCTCAGGTCCTACTCGCCTCGCGCGCTCCGGCCGCCGCCGTCCCAGCGTCCCGCCGCCCGTGCGTCCTCCGCGCGCCACCGCCCGGCCGCCCGGCCCTCGGCGGTAGCTCCGCCCCCGCCCTGCCCCCTCCGGGCCGGCCCCGCCCCCAGCCGCCTGGACCGCGGGGTGGGTGACGGGGCGGGGGGGGGGTGCGGCGCCGGGAAAACGCGACCGCACCTGGACCGCAGGTGTGTGGGTGCGCGCCCGAGCGGCCCGGTGTCGTCTCGCCGCTCCTCCCCTCTCCCCCAGAGCAGGGCCCACCCCGCCGCCGCAGCTGGGCGCCGCGGGGGGCGGGCGGGGGCGGGGCTGGCCGGGGCCCAGCTCCGGGAGGGCGCGGGCGGCGGCGGTGGCGGCGGGAGGTCACCCCTCCCCCAGCCGGCCCAGGGCTGGAAGCGGCCCAGCACAGGCCTGGTACAGGGTGGCGTGACCGCCGCGCGGTGGGGAGTGGGGCTGGGTCAGCGCGAGGCGGCACAGCCAGCGGCTAAGACGGGCCTGGCTTGGCAGCCTTTAACTAAAGGCTAAGCAGCCTTTCGCTGCTTGGTGCCTCAGTTTCCCCACCTGTAAAACAGGGTTAAAAACGCTTCCTACGTGACAATGGCATTGAGAACATTCACTAAGCAGAAGGTAGGGGCCTGATGGCGGCTCTCAGGCAAAAAGGCCCATAAATTGGGGCAGTGTCAAGAGTTTCATTCATGTTACTATTATTCCCCATGGGCACGTGGCACTGTTATCTGTGTGTTGACCCCTCTACTAGAATGTCAGCTCCACAAGGGCAGGGATTTGCCTCTGTTGTGACTGCTGTGTTCCAGGCACCCCGTGAGTTCTGAGTCTGTCAAAGATCAGGGCGTGTGGACAGACCGTGCTCACATGACCCAGCTCCCAGGATCCACAGCAAACAGACTGCTTATGAAAACCATTTTAAATTAGAAAAGGTAAGACGCATCAGTGCACGAAGATGGGAACGGAGGGCCCAGCCCCGTGTGCAGCAGGATCGCCCCACAGCCCAGTCAGTGCGCTGTGTGGGGAAAGGCACAGGCGGCGGGGGCCTGGGTGCGGGTTCTTCTGGGCGTGGCTTCGGGCCGCGCAGGCTCAGAGGTCCGCCTTCCGGAAACTTGCTCTGTTCAAGGAGTTCCTGGGGGAAGAATGAGGTGGGTCAACAGGGCCAGAGGGCTCCCGACTCCCTAGTGCTCATCAGCCTCTCCTCTCCTCTAAAATCAGAGTCTCTCTTGGAATTGTGCCCATTTTACAGACGTGGAAATGGAGGCTCAGAAAGGTGAAGTCACACGTCTGGGAAACGACGCGCCCAGGACCTAGAGCCTGCCCCGTGTGCATGCACGTCCACAGAGTTGCAGGTGTGTGCAAAGCGGTGAGCGTGCGCGTAGACGCGTGCGTGTGTTGACATGCCCATCTGTGGTCGGGGGCCGGGGTCAGGCACCTGAGGCCTGCGGCCGTAGGTGCCAGCGGCTGGGGCAGGCGCTGGGTGAGGAGGGGCTGCAGAGCCTCCCGCAGGCGACAGTAGTTCCGCTCCAGCTCGCGGTGGTACTCCTTCTGGTCTGGCCCTATCAGCGCCTTGTTCTTCCGCAGGGCGTCCTCACACCTGAGAGACAGGGCAGGGCGGCAGGTGCTCAGGAGCAAGCCAGCCTGGGGGTGGGGGGCGGTCCCTGGGTGGGGTCAGGAGCTACAGTGGAGTCTGATAGGTGGAGGGAACTTAGGGAGGCGGGGCTCCATGACAGACAATGATACACAGAGGCTGTATGGGGGTCAGGAAGGCAGAGCCGTGATGGGAGGGGGGACGGAGGGGGGAGGGGGGACGGAGGGGGGTGGGGGGACGGAGGGGGGCGGGGGGGGCAGGCCTACTTCTTGCAGAAGTCTTTGAAACAGAGCCGCAACTTGTTATGATGCCGAAACAGTTTGGGGTCTTCCGGGATCTCTGCCAAAAACACCTGGGCCACCTCCAGGGGACCCTGCAGGGGGGGCAGGGCTCGTGAGGGTGTCTGCACGGCCCCTGGGGCGCCTCAGGCAGCCTGCAGGCCCCACTGGCCAGTACCTGGTTCACAGTGGGCCCCACAGAGCCCTGCAGCACCATCTGCAGCATCTTGGCGTCGGGCGGGTCCTGCTCGGTGGCGAAGGCCAGCTCCCGTGTCTTCTTCTGCATGTCCTCGATGGCCACCTCCACGGGTGTCAGCACTGTCTGTGGGGAAGCGGATTGGCAGGCGCTGGCTGGGGCCTGAAGATGTCCTGCCCCAAGCTCGCCCAGGGCAGCCTGGACCCCTGCTGGTGGCGGGGGGGAGGGGCGTTCCGAGAGGCTGTGTAAGGAACAGCGTGTGGGGTCTTCTGCAGGCCTGCATGTGACAGGGTGGGGGCTCTGGTCTCAGCTGCCTGTGTCTGGCCCTGGGGACTGGTGTGGTGGTGGTCTGGCCTCAGGCTGCCTGGGGCTGGAAGTAGAGGTCGGAGTCTGAAGACTGGTGTTCCGCCGTGGGAGCTTAGGGTCCTCTCACCGCCTGGGCCTGGGGGTCCCCCGGGCTTCCCTTGACCTTGGATCTCCGCATCTCCCTTCCCCCTGGGGACCCACCCACCTCCTCCCGGTGGCACACGCGGATTCGGGTCTTGATGTAGGGGAAGGCGTGGTCTGTGCTGAGCACCGTCTTGCGCTTGTGCTGCTCTGGAAGGTCGCCGTGCGCGCGCCCGTCAGGCGTGAAGGGCGTGCAGAACAGGAAGGTGCGCAGCCCGTAGTTGCGGTCGAAGTAGGTCACGCGGTCCTTGAGCTCGTAGGTGTCGAAGTGCGGCTCCACGTAAGTGATCTGGATGTAAGCCTGGGGCGCGGGGCTCCGGAATGAGGCTCCCAGAGCCCCAGTACACGCCCTGGGGGCTTGCCTTCCTCCTTGCAGGGCCCAGCCCTGGGATCTCCCAAGGAAAAGGATTTGGGGTCCCCAAGGGAGAGCAGCTCTGAAGTCGGCCAGAGAAATAGGGTTTGAGGGTCCCCGGGAAATAGTACTTTGAGTCTCCCTGAACACGGGAGACCCTAGGATGGTCAGGAGCCCTCACCTTCTGTGGGTCAAGCTTGGTCTTGTCCACGGGGTTCGAATCTTTGACAATCTCGACCACGTCCTCCCCAAACCTCTCCGTGTAGAACTCCTGGGGACACGGGGCTGACTCGGGGCCACAGAGGGGCAGCCCCCACTCCGCCCCAGGGCAGCCCCATGCCCATCTACCCCCTACCGCTGGGACGTGCCTCCAGCCGGTGTGAAATCTCAGCCAGCTTCGTGATGGATGGCTCCTTATACACAAACTCCTGCTCATCCAGGTCGCCGAATCGCGCCCCATAGAAACCCACGCGGAAGTAGGTCCCGAACACACGCTGCATCTGTAAGAAGGGGAGCTGTGGCCTGGGAGGCCCCTCTGGAGGTTCCCTTGCCCCACGTGCAGAAGAGGTGGGCATGGGCAGGGGGACCCCAAGAACATGAAGTCACAGGCACAGTTGGGGGGGGGACCCTGAGAATCCTGGGGCATGGTCCCAGATGACCACCAGCAGCCCACACCCTCACTCTTTCCCCCCAGCCTTTATCTCCTGCCTCCCCCAAATCTTTGTTCTCATGTGACACAAGCCCCTAGTTTCTGATTATCCCTCTCGCCCAAGCATTTTTTCCGAGTCTGGATCTCAATATGAAATTAGGATTAGGGCTCTGTTGCTAGGGCTCTGTTGAGCACAGCTGTGTCCT